CATGTACAGCTGAGCTTGTCCATCACCTGCTCTGTGCTGGGAGGGGTAGGTCTGTCTCCTAAAATTGTCTGGTGTTGGCATAGACTCTTAGATATCAGATGAATGAGAGAGAAGACAGAAAGTACACTCAGTGCTCTGAATCGAGGCATGTCTACACTATAGTAGGATATTCTTTGTTCATTTCAGAGGTTTACAACCACTGTAACCTTTTCAGGTTGGTCAAATTCCTGCTTTCCCTGTCACACACTATGGCTCCTACTGTCAGCATGTACGTTGTGTACTGAAGTATGAGGCAGCAAGAGGAACCAGAATATGTGGCTGTGCAGCAAGTGTTACACATCTGGAAGTTTAAAGCATCTGCAGCATCTGGGGAGAAGCAAATCAGTGGTGTATGAAGACAGGCCACCGGAAAGGTAAGTTTACTACCTCTTTGGACAATGAGCCAACAGTACCACCAAAGTTTTTGGAGGGATTTTTTCTCAGAAAAGAACAAGAGGTTAAGTGTCATTAAAGTGGAGCTATACTCAAAAGGGGAAGTTCTGCTTTAAGGCTTTGTTCTCTGCTTCCCGTTAAGGATTAGCACATTTGGGGAGCGAGTACCCGAATTTGACAGGTACCTGTTCCCACTTCCGTTGCCATCGCCTAAGGCGATTGGAAGTGGAAGTTGTCCTCCCTCCCCATAGTCTTCTGGGACACGTGACAGGACGCAGAAAACTACGGGACCATTCACAAAGCGCAGCGCTACTCAAGCATGCACAGCGGATACCCAGTTGTGAAGTCGCAAGCTGTCAAAGCTAGGTGCCACACTGAAGATACTGGTGAGAGAAGACGTTCGGTGAAGCCAGCCATGGTGAGGACCATGCTGGACCGAGGGAAAGGTAAGTGTCCGTATTTCTTGTAGCTGCTGACTTAATTTTATTTTTTTTTTTTTCAACTGGCCTATCAATTTGGATCATTACAGTAAAGATTAAGATGCTTCTTTGGATAGTTTTAAAATGAAAATGCCACTTTCATTAAAAGGAAAACATCATAATTGCTGTGTGCATTATTTTGTAATTTACAGTTATTAAAAAGACCTTTCTTAAAAACTTTACCATAATCAGGTTTTAAGATTAAAAAAATCGAAACTGGAATGTTTTGCTCTAAAATGAAGCAATCCAGCACTGTTCTAAGAAAGAAAGAAAGGAAAAAAAAAAAAAAAAGAAAAAAAAAGAAAACCTTTAAACATACACTATATTGCCAAACATATTCGGATGCCTGCCTTTGCACGCACATGAACTTTAATGGTATCCCAGTCTTATGCAGGCCATAGATGGGTTGAAAATCGGCCGATTTTTCGGCCGAAAATAAAAATCGGCCGATTTTCGGATTGTTAGTGGGCGATTTGGTCGGCCGTTTTTTTTTCGGTATTTTGGCCGTTTTTTTTTCGGTAAAGTTGGAAAAAAAATCGGCCGATTTTGCCGATCGGCCGATTTTCGCGGCAATTAGTGGGCAATTTTTACCGATAAAAAATCTGCGCATGAGCAGTGACCTGCAAGAGGAAGACAAAAAGAAGAAAAAGAAGAAGAGGATGATGATGAAGAAGAAGAAGAGGATGAGGATGATGAAGAAGAAGAAGAAGATGAAGAAGAGGAAGGAGGGAGGAGGGAGGAGGAGGACGTTTTTGGCCGTTTTTTTTTTCGGTAAAGTTGGAAAAAAATCGGCTGATTTTGCCGATCGGCCGATTTTCGCGGCAATTAGTGGGCAAATCGGCCGATTTTTTACCGATAAAAAATCTGCGCATGAGCAGTGACCTGCAAGAGGAAGACAAAAAGAAGAAAAAGAAGAAGAGGATGAGGATGAAGAAGAGGATGATGAAGAGGAAGGAGGAAGAAGAGGAGGAAGAAGAGGATGAAGAAGAGGATGAAGAAGAGAAGGAGGGAGGAGGGAGGAGGGAGGAGGAAGGAGGGAGGAGGGAGGAGGAAGAAGAGGAAGAGGAAGGAGGGAGGAGGAAGAAGAGGAAGAGGAAGGAGGGAGGAGGAAGAAGAGGAAGAGGAAGGAGGGAGGAGGAAGAAGAGGAAGAGGAAGGAGGGAGGAGGAAGAAGAGGAAGAGGAAGAAGAGGATGAAGGAGGGAGGAGGAAGAAGAGGATGAAGAAGAGAAGGAGGGAGGAGGAAGGAGGAAGGAGGAAGGAGGGAGGAGGAAGGAGGAAGGAGGGAGGAGGGAGGAGGAGAGGAGAGGGAGGAAGAGGAAGAGGAAGAGGATGAAGAAGAAGTAGGATGAAAATAAGAGGAATTCCAGTCCAGCAAAAAGTGTCTCTGCAGAGAGCTCCGCTATTTCTTTGACAGTTCTCTGACAGTTCCTTGACATTTACAGCGGTTGCAACATTGTATCTATTTGTTTCCGAATAAAAACATCTGTATCCTAAATGGAAACAAATAGATACATTGTGCAACCTCTATAAATGTCAAGGAACTGTCAGAGAACTGTCAAAGAAATAGCAGAGCTCTCTGCAGGGACACTTTTTGCCGTCTCTAGACGGGATGAAAATCGGCCGATTTTTTTTACCATTGATGGTAACGTCGGCCACTTGAACGACCGATTTTTCATTTTTTAAAAGAAAAATCTGCCGTTTTTCTCCCCATCAATGGCCTGCATTAGTCTGTGGGGTTCAATATTGAGTTGGCCTACCCTCTTCAGCTATAACAGCTTTAACTCTTCTGGGAAGGCTGTCCACAAGGTTTAGGAGGGTGTCTATGGGAATGTTTGAACATTCTTCCAGACACGCATTTATGAGGTAAGGCACTGATGTCAAACGAGAAGGCCTGGCTTGAAGTCTCTGCTCTAATTCATCCCAAAGGTGTCCTATTGGGTTGAGATCAGGACTCTGTGCAGGCCAGTCAAGTTCCTCCACCCCAAACTCACTCATTCATGTCTTTATGGACCTTGCTTTGTGCACTGGTGCACAGTCATGTTGGAATAGGAAGGGGCCATCCCCAAACTGTTCTCACAAATTTGAGAGCATGAAATTGTCCGAAATGTCTTGGTATGCTGGCGCCTTAAGACTTCCCTTCACTGGAACTAAAGGGCCAAGCCCAACCCCGAAAAGCAACCCCACACCATAATCCCCCCTCCAAACTTTACACCTGATACAATGCAGTCAGGCAAGTACCGTTCTCTTCTGGCAACCGATAAACCCAGACAAGTCCATCGGATTGCCAGACAGAGAAGCGTGACTGGTCACTCCAGAGAACATGCCTCCACTGCTCTAGAGTCCCATGGCGGCGTGCTTTACACCACTGCATCCTACGCTTTGCAATGCACTTGGTGATTGGTTGCTTGAAGGAAGCTACTCAGACGTAGAAACCCATTCCATGAAGCTCTCTATGCACTGTTGTAGTGCTAATCTGAAGGCCACATGAAGTTTGGAGGTCTTTAGCTTTTGACTCTGCAGACAGTTGGCGACTTCTGAGCTCTGTGAGCTTCAGCATGCGCTGACCCCGTTCTGTCATTTTACGTGGCCTACCACTTCATGGCTGAGTTGCTGTTGTTCCCAGTTGCTTCCACTTTGTTATAACAACTGACCGTGGAGTATTTAGTAGCAAGGAAATTTCACGGATGGACTTATTGCACAGGTGGCAACCTATCACAGTACCACGGTTGAATTCACTGCGCTCCTGAGAGCGGCCCATTCTTTCACAAATGTTTGTAGAAGCAGTCTGCATGCCTAGGTGTTTGATTTTATAAACCTATGGCCATGGAGGTGATTGGAACACCTGAGTCCAATGATTTGGAGGGGTGCCCCAATACATTTGGCAATATAGTGTATATTACTGGTACACACATTATGTAAAATTAGATATTTACAAATATCCTATCGATTCCAGTCTTCAGTCAGCTAGGATTTGCTTACAGCATGTTCCCAGAAATGTAATTTCCTGCACACATTTTCCAAGTTTGTTTTTTTTCCCCATTACAATACTGGGACTGATCATGGGATTTTAGTAGTTACATCCTCCCACTTAGGGTTATAGCAATAATTGGAAGCGATTACAATGCATCTGTCAGTATCCACAGGGAAGGATCTGGTAAGAGTCTGCAATGAATTTTGCTAAAACGTCTTGAAATGTTGCATCAAACACGACCATAGGCGTCTGTTTACTCCTGAGCATCCATAGAGCAGAGCAGGCTCTGCCTGTGTTCATTCTGCATAAACTGAGTGGATCCCCTGCTGATCAGAACGGACTCTGCCCTATCTGAAAGAGACCTAAGTATTTTTCATGCAGCCATTGCTCCTGACTGCAGAAATTGAGAGATCTGTTGGCATCCAAATACTGAGCACATTTGCCCAGAGTAAGAAAGAGTAAGATTGATTGCGACAGGATCACTCACTTAATATAACCAAAATACAGTGTCAGTTCACACCATGCTGTCCAAAGATCATGGCTGCTTTCAATAAAAAAGTGCAGCATGCCATCTACTGATACACAGATGAAGCTAGTACATAGCTGGGGAAACACAGAAAGTGCAGATATACTTTAAATGGAAAAAAGGTCTACATAGAAGCCAGTAAAGCTGAACTTTAGGTAGACATAAAAAGAGACAAAGTAAGGCAGCTATGTTAATATATCACAAAATGTGTTGTTTAAATTCAAGCAGTGTAAATATATGAATTTGACCAGGTATCAGCCTCTGGGTAGTCCCTATACATTACAGCTGGACAGGAAGAGGAAAAAGTATTATAAGAAGCTAACTGGTTCATGTGCATGCTTATAGGAGGAGAAAGCAGAGTGACAGAGAAACGGACTTCTCTTCTTTTCACTGTCAAGTAACAGGCCAGGTCAGGTCCAGGATGACCTAGGTCTAGAGGAAGTTGGTTTCATGATGCTGGCCATTTTATCTTTTAATGGGTTATTCATTTTCATCTTATTATTGTATTAATGGAGTTCTGCTAAAAAAAAAAAAACTGCACACTTACAATACACGTGTCAAGTAAAAAAATGAAATTGTGTAAACACCTACCTACTGCAGGAGCATCATATTCATCCCCAAGAAGTATCTCTGGAGCAGAGTAAGCTAATGATCCGCAGCTTGTGGTCAGCTTTTTCCCAGGCTGAAACTTGTTGCTAAAGCCAAAATCTGTCAGTTTCACAAGTCCCTGTTTCTCAAAGAACACAACATTCTCTGGTTTGAGGTCCCTGTGCACCACATGTAACTTATGGCAGTAAGATATCGCATGCACAATCTGAGCAAAGTATTTCTTGGCCAGATCCTCACTGAGGCCTTCCTCATGCTTCATTATGTAATCATACATATCGCCTCCATCACCAAGTTCTAGAATGAGATACAATTTGGTTTGTGTGTCAATCACTTCATACAGACGAACTATGTTGGGGTGTTGCACCAGTTTCATGCATCGGACTTCTTGAAAAAGATGCCCAGTAGCTAAGGAGTCTAATTTGGTCTTATCGATGACTTTCACAGCTACCTTTTCACCTGTAAAGACATGACGAGCAAGTTTGACAACTGCAAAATGTCCTCGGCCCAAGGTCTTGTCAAGATCATAAAGTCCAGCAATCTTCCCATCATATCCTCTCTTGAAACCAGCCATGCTGTTAGGTCCTCGGGTTGTAACTGTTAGATGACTTTCATAAAAGAATATCTGATGCCAACAAGGAATGCATTTTCATTGCCGCTAGGCACATCTGAATGAGAAAAAAAAAAGAAAGAAAAGAAGTTACAGCAAAACCAAGACTAAATGCATGTTAAATCAGTAAAATTAGGAAGCCGTGAAAGCCAGTACTGCATTGGAAGATCTATTTACAAGCTAGTAAATTATACCAGTTTATAATGCATGGAACAACTATGGCACATGGCTATAAAATTACAACTGCCACTTCTTGGACCCTAGGAGTGCATACCGTTTCATACCCTGTGCCTTTCACGCTATTACATACCTCCCAACTTTATGAAATAAGAAGACTTTTAATACACAAATTATATAGACAAAATAAACACCCCTGCTATGCTGCGGACCAGAAATAATAAAGGCCCAAATGAATCTTTGCTAGAAAGTACGAAGAAGCCCAGTTTTCCCCATTCCAGAATTTCTTTCACTGCGCTCTTCAGTAATGAACACCACAACCTCCCTTTTCCTGTATTTTTTGGTTTTTTGTTTGGCAGAACCACAAAAGCCCCTCTTTGTAAACCTTCCAGGGGCTCACAAGTGCACACGTTTTAGTGGGGGAGTTTTCTCTAGGCTTTCCTGTGTTATCAAGCTCATAGTTCTGAAATGGGTAATAATTTCCATACTAGATGTAATGGTATTCTTGATTCTCCCTCCCTTCGTTGGTTTGTTTCAGTTCATGTTTTCTGGGATGGTTGCTCAGTTTGTTCTCTATAGCCATTGACTTTGACAGTGCACGCCACTGGGTGATGTTTCCTAATCTGGTTATTTGGAAAACTGGATAAAATTGGTGATCTAAGTTTTGTGTCATACTTTCTCAACCTTTTTTCAGTCAAGACACCATTTAAAATGATGCACAAATCTTGAGGCAACCTGTTCAAAAATGTAAAAAACTAAACTAATAGTTAAGTGTTCTTGCATTGCAAGACCACTTACTGTTATCTCACATATATATTCTTATAGCCCAATTTACCACCCTAACTCCTCCCACAGTTTTTACACTACATAGACAGTAATATACCGAAACGTGCGGATTGTTCCCGATTGGTGTGCTATTACTTTGTGGAACGTTTCGCCGAATGGTTCAATAAATATCAGCGTTTTTGTGGTGAAATTGGTCCCATAGGAATGAATAGCGGATTGTTCAAAACTAGAATGGGAGCTGACAAAACCTTTTCACAGTTAGTCTAGCCACTCCAACCAGTTACTTCGCCCACTCCAGTTGTAGACTACTGGTGGAGGCAAGAACACTTCACACAATTTCCCCAGAAATTGTAGCTTTTCTAGTTTTACATACTGCAGCAACACTCGCACATATAGAACAGTCAACGTTAGAGGCAATTTATTCTTCAAAAACAAATGCAGACTGGTACTGACCAATATTCCATTGTTTCTCTTCTCCCTCACTCAGCTAATGTGACCTTAGTACTGACAGATAGGGGCAAACAAGGATGCTGTGCAGGCACCAAACGTCCTCTATCAACTGATTAGGTCATTGGTTGTTGGGATTCTGGCTGCTAGATGGTTGTAATGGTGCCCAATGAAATCCATGGCTTTGTGTAATATGGCAGGCTTGACATACACACTGGCTTGTGAATAATGTTTGGGGAACTTTTTAGGCATTTTGCCAAGGCACCCCTGAATAAACCTGAAGGCATCCTGGTTGAAAAAGGCTGTCATACTGTATGCAATGTAGAAGAGTGGCTTTGTCTTTTTTCAATAAAATAAAAAAGTGAAAGAAAGTACAAACATTTACTAGTAACTCAAAAGCTCATATGAACAAGTCTGAGGTCATCTATATACAACTAGGTTTCTTTTCTTCAGTCCAAAACGAGAGAGATCAATTGGTTCCCACATTTATGCTAATCAGCATGGATGGAGGAATCTCCACTGCCAACTATGGTACTTAAGCAGCCATGACAACCACAGCTTCCTGAATATCCAAACAGTAAGCACCTGATGGGACAGTCACTGGTCTACCAATAATTTTCCACTCAGTTGTGTTTGCTAGCTTTGCTACTTCCTGATCGTTGTAGTGTAGTTTGAAAGTTCCACAGGATCAGCAGGCTGCATGGTTTGACACACCATACCCGCTTTGTCAGACCTTCAACAGTGCAATCAGCAATACTGACTCCTAACATCACTGACCATCAGGCCTGGGATTTTTATACCTGAAGTCTATGGGCAGACCATCTTTTTAACACATGATTTAACACAAGACATATTGTTGAAATTGCCACCCACTTGGCTTAGGACATTTTGATAGTGTGTAGATACATTTATCTATATTACTGCATACAATTGGAAAAAGAAAACCAGTTGCCACTAACTGGGAAGAAAAAAAAAAAAAAAAGCTGTCTTTTTGCCTCTGTTGCCTATAAGAATAGAGCTACTGAATAAACAGTCCCCCATCCCTGGGGCATAGTTACCATTGGGATATCTGCCAGCCTTGTTCCTTCACCTAATAACTATGGATATTTTTTAAAATTGTACATTTTTATTAAAGGTCAAACCCATTTTTTTAAAGCAGAAAATACAACAACACTTAGGTGTAAACTGTGCAATTGAGAAAAACCACAATCAATACAAAAGAAAACAAGCAAAAGATATATGAACATAATTAGACAGCATGGCAAACTGTATAATGCAAGGAAACAAAGCGACATGAACCTGCAAACTATTGGATTACATTATTTTCAGGGGCTCGGTGAGCAAAGAGTTGTCTGAGCTACATAAGGAAGGGGGGGGAGTGGGGGAGCGGAAGAGGAAGGAGATCTACCGAAGGGAGAATTAAGGATATTTATTTAAATTACACAAATTATACCATGCAAAATTATATTTTACTCATTTCACTTGGTACAGAAATAGATTTAATTAAAATCGGAATATTCATGTAATAAGAATATTCAGATGCTTTTAATAAGCTGAAACAAAATATCTATGATGATCAGCACAAAAAGTTGTTTCACAAAACCCAGGTTGGGAAAGATCAAAAAAAACCAAAACACAAAAAACCACAGGACAATTAAATATAGTTAATACAAATACGCTTTTTTGATGGTGCTGGTCTCTTTATGAAACGTACAATCCGTACCAGCCAAAGAAGACAATGAGAGATTCTATTTTCATCAATGCCTATCTGTTCTTCTATAATAAGCAGGTTTGGTCATTCAGGATGAGCTCCCTATATGCACTGATGTCCCATGTTCTAGTAAGAAAGCAATTATTGTTATGAATGGAAGTATTCATGAATGTCTGCCTAAAAGAAAAGTAAAAGAACCTTCCATGCTGGCGCTAGTGGTGCACTGGGCGTGATGCCAATAAGGATCTTCCATGCTCTTGGATCACAGTTGCTGTATCAAGACTCACATTTGTTAGCCATAGGAATTGCAGGTTGAATTAAACAACATTCTCTCATCCAGTTAGCTTTTATGCAATACTTCCAACAAACTGCTGAATATTTCCATAAAATCTGTTCACTATAAAAATTTAACTAATGTAATAATGTTAACTAGAAAATTTAAAAACCTGAAACTAGAAAGTAGACTTTCCATCTGAGCAATTCCATAATGGAGTGAACCTTTGGAACCATGTGGGTTAACTTTTACTAGCTGCAGAACAGGGAGAATGTTTGCAGACTGCTGACACATAAAGGCAACTGACTTAAGAATTCATATCATCCTGTTTAACTGCTATTTTTACATTTGCTTCATTCTTCAAGAGTCACTCTGAGCAAAGAGTGGGTGGACATCAAACATTCACAGGAAGTACTAACTTATACATTTTATCATTTGTACATTGAAACCACTAAATATATACTTCCAATCTTAAAAAAAAACCCAAAACAAAAACACGCACACCAAATACGGCATTACAATTTATAATTCTAAAACATGTCACACAAAAGTATAACATCCATTCCACTCGTATTCCTAGGAGAGCAAAATTTATACACTATTTTGTTAGAAGATTAACAAAGACTTCTTAAATATGTTTTCCATTTAAAAAAAAAAAAAAAAAAAAAAAAAAAAAAAAGAAACCTCCACCCCATTTGTCCATCTTGAATAGTTAAAGTGAAGTAAAAAACAGAACAAATTTTGTGTAAAATGCATTAGTCCATATCAACTAATACCAGCAAGGAGAATTTATACACGCTACCTACCAGCAACAGTTGGCTTATGTGCTCCCTTCCCCCACAAACCAATCATGTGTGCTTATACCATACTTTGCCCTTCCAAAAAAAGAAAAAGAAAAAATGAAAGTTACAGCCAAGCACTTACCCCCCCACATAAATACAAATGAAAACAAGAAATCATCAAGTGTGCTACACATTACATATTGCCGTGCATGCTGGAGTGAGAATAATTATAGGCTCATTATTCATAGTTTACTTTAAAGTGACGACCCATTGGGGCTTTTAAAGCATCAGCTATATTAAAAAAAAAATAAAAATTAAGGGTACCCAAGTTTGCACCATTTCATGCACACAATTTTAAAACTTAAGATGTTTGGTATCTATTTACTCGGTAAAAGCTTATCTTCTATATTTTACCAAAATAACTGTAGAATACATTGTGTTTTTGGGCCTAAAATTTACTTAAGTGTATATTTTATTGAACGTTTGTACTTGATAAACAGTTGTGCTACTATTGTGTGACATACAAAATTTGGAACTACTAATATTCTATTCTCTAGGGTGTCTGCTTTCAGAAAATATGTTCTTTGCGGTATTAAAGAAATCTTCAGACCTAAAACATTTTTTTAAATTAATGCAAAAGAATGTGAAAACTGCTCTTACAGCACAAGGGTTAATGTGAACAAATAGCTCAAATTTTTCTCTCTCCCCCCCCCCCCCCCCCCCCGATTTGAATAGAGTAGGGAAGAGTTAAAATCTTTTCAGGTTATTTTTTTGCTGCCTGTGTCCC